CGCCACCGACCAGAAGGTGCTGACGGTGCCATCCGTCCAGTCCTCCAGCTCCTTGCCCGTCAGCTGCGCCTTCCGCACCGCGTCCTCCTCCGCATCCTCAGAGCGCGGCAGGTTGAGGATCCCCCCCAAGCCCTGGAAGCTCTGCTCCATGTACTCGTTGCGGGGGGGCCCGCCATGCAGCCAGTTGCTGTCATCTGGGCAGGACAGGGAGAGAAGAGAGAGGGGATCAGAAGCACAGCAAGATCCCAGCACCCTGCCAATCCCACTGCCATGCTCCGGGTGGGGCTCAGCACCCCATCCCTTTGCTACCCCAGCTCCCCTCCAGCCCAAGGAGAGGGATGCTGCTGCCGGGCAGATCCAAGTGACCTGCAAACGGGCCCTCCGCAGCTGCCCAGGGGCCTGGTTTGAGGGCTCACGTGGACAAGGGGACACCAGCAGCAGGAAGGATGGCTCCTGCCTTGTCATCAGCTGCAGCCCAGAGAGGCCAGCACCAGGGGGAAGTGCCCTGGACCGCCCGCAGGGAGACCCTCCCGTCCAGCCCCAAACTCCAAAGCATCCTCACCTTTCCTGAGAGGCTGCTTGCGGTTGAAGGTCTGGGGCACCACCAGGAACTGATTCTCCCCCAAGGGTTCCCAGAACTGGAGGAGGCGGATGGTCCAGATGCCTGGGCGCAGGGGCCGGTTGAGGGGGGGTTTGTACTGGGTGAACTCTGCCTCGGCATCCACCGTGATGTCGTAGGAAGCAGCAATGACGTAGGTGGGATCAATCCACACCACCGTGGCCGTCAGGTTGGGGCCCCGTGACCACTTCTGCATGGCCACCGGCTCATCGAAAGGCCCCATCAAGCCTCCAAAATTGCGGAAGAGTCTTTCCTTGGGGTCCCACTCTGTGCCCACCTGGAGGGACAGGTGGCACAAGCAGTGGGATGCTGGGCAGGGAGCCACTATCAGCTCAGGTTTTGCATTTCACCACCCCCAATCAGGGAAGGTGTAAACTTTGGAGCCCAAAGCAATGCACACCTGACCCTCCATGGCTCTCCTGCCTGCCTGCACCATGCCAGCACTAATCCAGCTGTGTGATGCCTCCTGCAGCTGCAGGTGCTGGACACCACAGCCTCAGCTCCCCCATGACAGACCCCCTATGACAGATCCCCTTGCAGCCTTTTCCCCACCGATCAGCTCCACACCCCACGCAGAACTGACTCCTGCACAAAGGTTTGTTCTCAGACACGACAGCGGCACCGTCTCCCTCTGTTCCCACAGCATGCAGGTGGGGGAGAGGAGGAAGGGCAGCGTGGTCTGGGAAAGCCAGGGAGGAAAGTGGGCACTGTGAGGGCAGCTTTCCCTGTTTACCTCAAGGTTTTGTAAGCGGTTTGCCTGCCCTCCACGACCCGCCAGCTTCAGAGCTCCTTGGGGCATCATCCACACCTCCAGGGACTCTGCCTGCCCAGTTGCCAAATTCTGCACTTCCTGCATCACCAGGTAACCCTGGAAACGGTCGTCATAGAAATATAAGTGCACACTGGATGGGAAGCCCCGGGGCTCAAATCTGGAGAGAGAGAGAGATGTTGCACATCTGAGCATCAGCGTCCTCCCAACAAGAGATGAAGGCCACCATTTGGAGCCTGGATCGAGCCCGCAGCAAATGTCCCACCTGCAGAGCTTGTCAGCCTTCGCTGCCACCGTGGACGCGGCTTTGTGGAGCCCCAGCCTGGAGAAGGTGGTGTAGAAGGTGAGGGTGACATCGCTGAGGCCGCTGAGCCCGTCGACGCGGTCATAGACGTTCTCCCAGTACGCCTTCAGGGCCGGCGTGTTGGGGGGATAGCTGCCGTAGAGGTGCGTGTCCAGGATCTCCAGCACCTCCTGATTCACCGTCGACTCAAACTTGCGGGCGAAGAAGGTGGGTCTGGAGAGTTGCTGGAAGAGCGCAGGCATTTCTTACAGCGTTGGTTGCACCCCCTCTGCCCTCCCACCTGAGTGGGGCAGCTGGGAGGGAGACAGACTGGGAAGAAACATGCTGGGACCCATCCTGCCTGCTTTGAGGGCACAGGCAAAGGAGCAGCAAAGCACAGCCAGCCTCTATGTGGGATCCTCTACAACATGATCAGTGGGAGCACACAGTACGCTTACTGGTAATGCAGATGTGTTCCCATCTCTCCCACTGCCTCCCGCCTCCTGTGCTCAGAAGCAGCCATGTGTCATCTAGCTCCTTCACTGCGATCTCGATTCAGATGGGCCCCATGCTGCAGAGCTGCTGCAGAGCCCTGCACAAGGCCTGGCCACGTGGCACAGCTTGCAGGATCAGGGCCCTGCACTATATAAGCCCAGGACCACTAGAAAAATCCTGCTAATTTCTCTTTTCAGGCCTGGGTGTAACTCCCCGAAACGTCCCTTGTTCAGTCTACATCCC